ACGACACGCGCACACACACACACACACACACACACACACACACACACACACACACACACACACACGCACACACACACACACACACCATGCGCCCTACATCGCCGACCGACCACGGATGGCGGCAACGATTTTCATAAGCGCGTGACACATCATCCTCTGCGTCTCATCGGATGCCTCGTAGTGCGCTTTCTGGACTGCAACTTCCTGCTCCAGTATGTCGCATTGCCTCGTGAATATGCTGCATTGCCGCTTGCTAGACGATTCGATTGTCGACGACATCAGTTCGCCATGGCGGTCCATGACATCAGCAATCGACTCCAACGCCTGTTGACACGCATTCTTCCGCTTCCCGCCTCCAGCCCCGCTGGCTGCGTTGTTGTCGGAGTCCCTCATAGTAGAACATTCTTCAGGGAAGCCTTCACCAGCGCCCTCACTACCAACAAACTTCCCAGCACCCGCTCCTCGCCTGGGCAGCTGCACCCCGTCCGGACTTCCGGTGTCGGCGATGTTGGGAGGGAAAATTGTGTGGTTTCCCACCATGTCTGCGTGGATCTCGTTGTACAACGCCCTCTCCATCCGGAACTTGAAGTTGTGCTCCTTCCTTTCTTTATTCGATAGCCGGAAGAAATCTGGCCGGCCACTCGCATTCTGAAACCTCTGTATCTTCTTGTAGTTTTGGAAGATATTGTCCCACTTCTTCATGCAGTCCTCCGCGTCTTTAGGCCACCCCGCGTTCGCCATGCGCTTGACAATGTCGTCCCACTTCCACTCCTTGGTCCGCATCCGCCCGTAATTGTGACCCAGACCGGCGAGGTGCATCTCTTGCTCCCGCTTGCATCTCACCAGTTGCATTTGCTCTTCCGGGGACCAGTACGTCGCAGACTTCCCGCCGTCGTCGTTGATGCCACCTCTGCCCCCACGGCCAATGGATCGTCCACGAACAGCCCCCCTGCTGCGTCCTCTCCCCCTCCCACCCGTCTTCCCCAAAGGCCGAAAAGGAATGTCGTCGTCGTCGTCCCCTGCTTCCACGTCCTCCCTGAATCGTTCGTCGGCATCGTCACCGCCACCACCATCGTCGTCGCCGCCATCGCTGTGTGCCCGCATGTTTGACACTCCTCGTGTGATGTTCTCCATAGTGGGTGCTGGACGCACCACTGGTCTGCACGTGCCGTCGTCCCTGAGGTCGGGTTGGGCCGGCATTGTGCTTTTGAGCATCGAAGGACGTGCACCGCTAATGCGCAGGGACCCGACTGCGACTCCATTGCGTGCGGGGCAGGTACTCGTCAATCGATCGGCGGACGATGCACTCGATCCATGCTGCCGGCCTGCTACCGATGGCCCGACACCGCCAGTAACGGACGCACCGCCACGAAGTGTGGACTGCTCTGTATGCTGACTTCCAGATTGTTGTACGCCCCGTGGTGAAGGATCGGCGTCGATGATGAACGTGCGGCTCGGCTCCCTAGCGCCGCCAGAACACAACCTAAACCGGAGATCAACTCCCCCGTCGTCGTCGTCTCCCACTGCAAGCCTTGCTGCAGGAGTGTCGTGTACTCGTCGCGTCCGTTGCTTGCCGACCCGCCTGGCGGTCCACCCCTAGAACGAGACAAGGAACAAACATAAAGGTAGAAATAAAGGTAGATAAGGAACAGCATCCCGTCTTTGCCGCAACCCCCTGGAGTCCTAGACCTGTCTCTTATACACATCTAGATGTGTATAAGAGACAGGTTGGGGTACTGTCCGAACGTAGCGGTCGCCTTCCCTAGCCTCTCTGTGACGACTTTCGCGGCGCGGACGACGGATCGTCGATGATCGAAGGAGCGATGCATGGCCACGACGAGTGTGGGCTTCGCCACGAG